CCCCCCCCTAATAACAGTGCTGTGCAAGGAAGCAGTATTTCAGCCATTTCCCTACCCAGGTATCCACGGCAAAAACCAGAAGCACATTTCCTTACCTTCTCCACCCATCACCCCTCCTCTCCCCCCTACATGACCTAATCAACCGACAAAGGATCTACGACAAATAGCCATTACATTCGCTTATCCCAGCCTCCTCTCCTGCCTCGAACGAAACCAGAAGCACACCTTGCCCCTCCTCTCTCCACCACCTCCGCACTTGCCACATCCGAACTCCTGCCATTTGCGATGGGCACGCAAATACATATATAGACAACCCCTAGATAATATATTTTCTGCATTGCACAGATGCAAACGCGCTAAAAAAAAGAAAAAACCGAAGTTTTGGCCAGGTGAACAGCATCGAGTAACACACAAAAATAAGACCTCGCATGAATTAAACCAACGTAAATTGGAGTAACAAGCACAACACAAACTTAAAACTGCGTAGTGAGACAAAAGGCTTGCTCCAGAACATGAAAAACATTGCTAAAATCCGGAGCTCTGCGGAGCATTTCTTCCAGATTTGATATCGATCGGGCGGCGAGTGGCTGCGGAGAGGCAGAAGTACTGTACATGGAAGGACATAACAATACACGTAGAAATACAAAACGTTTCAATGCAAACCCAGGCTGGAAAGCACCAGGCGAGTCGGTGCGATCATACGTTTTTGCATCAAACTTAATTAGGTCAACTGCATGAACGGTTGTTTCTTCACACCTACCTTGTGCGCTCAATATCATAAATTTGCATAAAAAGAAATAAGCAATTCCCGTTTAGCGGTCGTTTTTTGAAAATGACCCAGCTGTTCAATGAGTAATTTTACCACCGAAAATTTAAGTGCCCATACACGAGAACCACGCGTAAGTGGAGGCTGAAGTTGAAACCTTTAAGTTATATTTGGACAGGAAATATTCTCCTAAAATCCCAACTTTCCAGCTTTTCTGGTGTTCAAGTTAGCAATTTTCCCGCCCAACTTTCACCCTCTCGTACGCGGGACCCAGAATTGTATGAGGGTTGATACCACAGCCTGGGGTGACACTTGGCCGGGGAACCCATCAACAAAATTTTGGCGCCGGAGCTTGCCTGGCTGCCGGGTTGAAATACCCAGGCAGACGAAAATACACACACACACACACACACAGACAGGGTCGTCGCAGTATGCGTTTTTGCAATTTGCATATAAGCAAAAACGCGCAGAAACACGTAAAAACATTGCAGAAGTTCATCTGGAAAGGTAAACTACGAAACAAATTACAGCTGGATAAAACGGATATCACAGTAAAAATAAGCAATGCTAAAATGATCCGTAAAATGCGACTAACGAGGTTTAAACAATAATATTGTTCAAGATGTAAGCTTGCACGCAATGTGTAACAAACGATGTGACATCAGTGCATCAATGAATTAATGCACGATCAAAGGACAAAATAAAGAATTCTGTTACAGTTTTTGAAATTCCTGTGGGATACCACTGCAAAAAAGCAGTCATTGTTTTGTCTTCTGATCATACATAAAGTCTTTTTGAATATTTTCAATCCAAAACAGAAGGCAAAGCTTAACAATGAGTAACATGCAGTGGTAGCCCAATCTAAGGGAATTTTTATTAGCCCCTCCAGCAGTGCAGCTCAGAGAAGCTGACCACAGCCCATTTTATCTAGTTCAGACGAAATGCAAATTAAGAATTTATGATAACAAAACGCGTATTACGATGAGCTTGACAGTGAGTTATAAGCTGCTTCTAAATATTTCAGTGAGACAGTTACAGAGAAAAAGCAACATAAAATGCGTGATAATGCGGCTGATTCGATCTGAGAGAAATGCAAAGAAAAAAGAAATTATGTTAGAAGTAAATTTCTTCGCCTAAGTATCGTAGCAACAAACATCGATCAGAAATGCTGAGGCGTTGAAAGGGAGCCCCGTTTTTTCACATTCAAAAACGGACTGCTGCTTGACACTAGCAGAAACGAAGCACGCATAGTCGAAAACCTGAATAGCGCAGAACTAAATTTATCGTCAAAAAGTCTCAGAATACAGTACTGTTTTGAGACTTTTTAAACACGGAAAAAAAAGAAATTTTATTAAACACTGGGGCACTTACCGAATAATCCCTTTGTAAGAAGCAAATGAACGATCAAATACAGTAGGCAGGTTGAGACACCGGGCCAGCATCAATAAAGCCGTGCTATTATCCTTGTACACAATAACAATTGTCCTATGAAGCAGATAAGTTTAATCACAAAAATATCGAGAGAAAAAAGGCCTCCCAATTTGCTATCATTTTAACAAATTCAATGCAGGACAATGCATGAAAGGAGATTTGTTACTTACGGGAGAGAAGTGTGACTTGTTTGTTTTGTGACAGGAACAGTAGAGCGACAATCAAAGTCATCCGCATGGAATATCTTCCGGCTGGCAATAAGTTTCCTCAAATCTGAGTCATAGCTTCGTTCGTCCAGCCGATCAGCGTTATCAATTTTTTCATTTCCTTCGCTGAACAACACTTATACACATTTATTCCACTTATATGCGTCTGTTCAATCAGTAACCAAAAAAGAGCTGATTAGTTCGTACGGCCAAGCACCAACACTATTACACTAAGTTATCAGGCTCCAACCACGTGGCCTGGGCAACGTTCTTTTCGCCCAGTGGAGGCTAAGTTTTCCTCGTGAGCTCCACCTGCACTCACGGAATCAGGACCGTGGGCGTTGGACTGTAGCCTGGATGGCTGATTTACGTGCCCTACGAGCCCAACGGACGTTTGCTGCCACACCGCCCCCCCCCCCGCGTCGTCGCTTATTTTTGTGTATCTCACATGTATTTTGTTTATGTGTTTTCTGGCCGAGACCATGCGTTTGTATATGTTGTGCGCGGGCTTTTTACTGAAATTATGTGTTGCCGGGACCGGCGGCACACGCTTGGGGCACGGCCTACGTAGCTAATGAGAGTACGCGGTCGCCCGGCTGTGCCACCGGGCACCGGACTTGCCTCTTGTCCTAATATGTTCACGAATATTCCACGGGTCCCGCTGCCCGTGTATTTTCAGCGACGACGTGTGGGATCGTGTGGGGGAGGGGGGATGTCCTCGCGTGGCAGCATTGCCACACGCCGAAGCTTCAGCCGTGTGGCCTGGGCAACGTCCGTTTTGCGCAGTGGGGCTAAATTTTCCCTGTGAGTTCCACCTGCGCTACAGCTGACTAGAAGATCAAGAACGGCTTTCGGTACATCAAATCAGAGGAACGGAAGAAATTAAAACCGCCATTTAAAAGATTACAGAGAGATATGCCACGTAAGCGTATATGTTTATTCTGTAAACGTACAGAAAAGTCACGTTAGCCAAAGTCTCCTCAGACACGGCTTTGTCTTCCAGTAATGTATTCAGTTCCAACGTTTTGGTAAGTCTGATACGTGAAACAGCTGGTGTATACGATATTCCCGGAAACATCCAACCAAACTTTGTTTTTCTGCAGCATTTCTAAAGCATATATAATGTCCAGAGTTCAAATATTTGCTTCGAATCAGTTCCCTCGCCAGTGCTAAAGCGGAAACATTAAGGCAACCATCAATGAAAACGCTCGGAGACTGGATTAGGGCATTTCCAAGGATACATATATGAGAAGTTCCATTCGATTAGTGCAGCAGTTTTTAAACACATATGTATAAATTTAACCTTGCGATCTTTTATATACTCCTCATAAAAAGATTTTTTTAGCAAGTAAGCGCCAACAGCAGTGTGATTTTCGACCCGATACATAAGTGAAAATTCACCGTATTCGGCAGCTGAAATCTCAGAAATAAATCGCACCGTGCCATAGTTCAATTTGATATACTTTTCAACGGTGTATTATTGACATCGAAAATAAAACTAACCAGAATAAGTTACCAAACTACAGAGAACATGCCGATGAAAGCGTAATCTACAGAAGTTCAGTTACCGTTTTCGTTATACGTATGAATGACGTTTGCTGTACGATCTTTCAAAAAATGCGGCAACAGCTGTCCGAGGAAGTATAAGAAGCCACGTAAAAGAATCACGTCTTCCTCGATAACGATCAAACACGGCGCTGATGGAAATAACGTCATCATGTGATCGATGCCCCTCAGCACGAATTCTGTAAAACAGCGCATCTGAATCCATCATAATATTTCTGAATCACCGAAAAGAGAAAATCCCGGATTATCGACATGGATACTTTGTTCAATGTTGTCACGCCTGGTAGAAGACATTACCGGCTACGGTATATCAGCTGATTTTCTGGATATTACATTACATTTTTTTGTACTGATCAGCGTACAAAACTTACTACTTTTTGTAATAAGACTGATTGTTTTAATTTTTATGTTAAAAGATATTCCTACTTAGACAGCACTGTTCATCCCCGTGCGCAAATGTTAACATTATGCATAGCCAGTAGGTCTGCTTTTTACGGACAAAACCGATTTTGACTTAATGCAAATGCTGATCCGCTTATTGTCTGCGAGAACAGAGGTCTTGTTCGAAACTCGTTTTCAAAAATCTGATGCTCTTTTATAATTCGCTATAGATTTAATTTTTCTAAATATTTTTACTCCAATAATATGAATTTTCAAATGTTACTATTCATGATTCAAAAGCACCTCGTGTAAATATAATGGCTGTATCATTATTTATTTTCTATTTATCCCACTATCTTCCTTCTTCTTACATAACACATACTATTCTTTCGCTTTATCTGTACTACTGATCTTACCCTTTATCCTTTCTTACTCTTCCTTCACACATTCCTTCACCTGGCCTTCATTCTTTTTATGCGTTTTTTGCAGCTATGCAATGCAGAAAACGCATACTGGCGAGGGGTTGTCTGTGTGTTTGTGTCTGTGTGTGCGTCTGTCACGCTTTTTCATCTCAATACCCACAAAAGCTACAGGGCTGAAACTTTGCGGACTTAATCTACATGCACTTACGGACCCCAATCCCAAAATGGGTGCCATTACTCGCGTGGTACCCACATAAGAGTCCGCCAAAGTTTTTTATAGGTAAGTTCACAACTCGGGGATCTGAGAAGTTAGAAAGCGAAACCTTAAGGGAATGTTTCCGGTTCAATTAGGTATTAATGAGCTTAAACCCACCCCGCGGGTAAATGTGGTATCTGCGTACGGGCCCGCCAAGATTTTTTTCGGGTAAGTTGATAATCGAGTACCTCAAAAGCTAAAGGATTGTAATTTTAAGAGGATATTTCCCGCCCATCAGTCTCATTCAGCTCAAACCCAGCCCTCGAGTATAAGCGGTACTCACGCACGGGCTCACCGAAGTTTTTCTCAGGTAAGTTCCTAACTCGAGAACCTGGAAAGCTAGAAGACTGTAGTTTTAAGAGGATGTCCTCTGTCCACGTAAGTCAACGAGCTCAAATCCAGACATCAGGTATGCCTGGTACCTACGTACGAGTCCGTGAATTTTTTTTTTCCAGTAAGTTGCTAACTCAGGAGCCAGAAATGCTAGAAAGCTGAAATTTTAAGGAGGTGTTTCCTAACAGTTCTGGCGACCAGTCTTAATTCGTTTAGCTAAAAGCATTTGCCCAAAAAACCGGTGCTGGTAGCGAAAAAAACTGCGGGGAACTATGCAAAAAACGCATCATCACAAGGACAGCCCGTGCGTTGGCCAATTATTAGTCTTTAGTCCATCACTTCGCACAATGTTACATTTTTATCCATGTTTCCATTCAGAGGTTTTCACTCCTTTCAATTCTTGCTTTTCCTATTGCTCCATTCATTCCCTCCTTTTTCTTCACTTCTACATTTTTTTCTCTAATAATCAAATAATACTGCATTGCAACCGTTGTAATGACGAGGTCCAGTCGCAGTTCTAAACTGGAATATATTCGATTCGATGGGCCCAATAAAATATCCCCGTTCAGAAGGAAAATTTTAGTTTTACTCTCTAATTTCATTACCAGCCTTAACGTTTTTTTAGCCAGATGCGATCCTAACACTAGCTTCGTCTGCGCGAATTTCGAAATTATTAAACTGACGTTATGGAATTTTATAATCGAAACATTTTTATGCAAAAAACCTAGCTTAACTCCAGCTTACTAACTCCTTTAAACAGCAGTAAATCAGAGAAGCCGAATTTTTCCTAGTCAGAGGATCCAAATTTTTGTGCATCAAAACAATGTCTTTCATTGTTCGTTCAACACAAAAGTACCAGCAAAACCGGAGAAAGTAGTTGAAAATCTGACATACCCACAGCACAACAGAGGGGATTTGGAGAACCCATGTGCTATGCTACAGATATGCCAAATTTTATATGGGAAGCCACAATACTGATAAACAAATGTACGGAGCGATATGACACTCGAACATTAGTATTCGTGAATTTTCACTACAAATGTTGCTTACGGCCAGGGAAGCAGCAATCCCACTACCCAACTAAGAAATATAAAATGCGACAAAGAGATTGCTAGTCCTGTTGAGGGTTCCCAAGGCAAGTGCACAGAGAAGCACTCCACAATCAGCCCGATTTCATAGTGGCTTGATGCCGAAAGTTGAAAACAAAAACAATGAGAGCATAGACGTGACAGTACCATCATAATTTAGGGAACCATTAACTGGCAATGCTCGAACATGAAAAAGCGCACTGAGATCGGACACTTCGTTATCGATAGGGTCGAAGGCCACGACAACATTTTGTGGATTGATCCCATCCTGCTCATAGATACTTTCCAAACACAGGCGTATGTTATTTGTGCTCAAACCTGCAACCAGAAATGAGCAAAAATCTAGCAGCAACTTCAACAAAAAAGCTACAACAACGTCTTGCGTTACGTGTATTTTTTTTCCTTGCCTGCAAAAAGCTTTGTTTGCTAAGAAAATAAGAAGTGAAATCATACCTCCGGCAAGCAATATCGGAACAGAATATATGAGATTAGTTGATGAGAAAGTGTTCTTCGCCCTGCGAGGCACTAATGGCATGTCCAGGCGAGTTTCTAAAAGAGTTGCAATTAGAAGCACCACGAAACTCACCTGGGACAGACTGCATACGACCAGCACAAAATCCTTCCGCTAAAAAACAACGGACCGTCACAGAATTCTTCATAGCCATCGTAACGGGCACAAAAATGCCGACGAAGCATATTCTGTGTTTTTGGCGGATGGGAACCAACTGTTTTTACACCATCCACTGAAAAAAAAAGACGCTATGCCGGCCAAAAAAAAACTGAACAGCAATTCGCAAATGAAAGCAAAAAGACCGATAAAAGTAAACATACAAATGGAGGGCACGCAAACGGCGACATTGATTGGCTTTGCCCAATCGTTACTGGATGGTATATTCATATCCTCGAATGGAGTGTAGCCATCGATTCCCTTCTGACCAATGAAATACCAAGAAGCACGGAACTTCAGATGATAAATCAGGCTCGAGCCCAATTCGTAGAAAATATGCTTCGCCATGTCCGAGAGACTGAAAACCAACTAGAAGCCGAACTAAACGTCATCAATTTCCTACGCTTGAACTATGATATTCTCAGAAAACTGATACCAGATAGAAGCCTCATCGAAGCTGATTACTGCCAATATTTCTCCTGGTGAGAGCTGCTCAAGAAAAAGCACCAGGGCAGAACTGTCTGCAACAGAAAAAATTATTTTGATGGAAGCTCCGGAAATAGGCCTGAACTATCGCGTTCTACATCTCCTTTCCTGCTCTATCAGGCACCTGAATATGCGATCTGAAGCGTAGATTTTAGCTCCAACATTCTCATCTAAACGATGTGCAAAGGCGAAACAAAAACGTTGTGCAAGGAACACCTCATCCGGGCACCAATCCTTTTTATGAGTCTTTCAGCACCTGATAAAATCCAAAAACACACACTGTCAGGATGTTGTGTGTGTGTGTGTATGTATACGTGTGCGTATTTTCGAGTTTATATTTACGCTTCTTCATAATAGCTTCTTCATGAAGATGACTGCTGTCAGTGTGTGGACCCGTAAAAGCAAAATAAGTTTCAGCACACCCCTGCACCTTGCTTTTGTATATTTCAAATTTCAGTCTGCAAAAACTACGGGCATCCTTCTCTCTGTAGAATCAGACAGAGAGATTTGCAATTTAAGAAAAAAAGGAAGTTAAAAACAAATAGATTTAAAATCTTACGAAAATCCCATCAGTCATGCAGCTCCAAATGCGTAAAATCAACTTTCACAAATGCCTAAGCAGATTGCAGCATATAGTTTGATCCCGAAAGTGCAGATGGCAAGGTGTGTTGCGGAATTCAGGAGAAAGGAAAAGTGTAGATAAGAGAACGTAACAGCGAGATAAGACGTTACGGTCCATTAAGTCATATACATCTTAACACTGCAACTGGACCTCATCAGTATGACGGTTGCAGCGCATAAGGAGAAAGTAAAAAGAAAGAAAGAAGAGGGGAATGAAGGAAGATGAAAAGCGAAAGTGGTCTGGCATACGGACACGGCAAATTACAGGCAAAAACTGTTGTTATTTTTTTGATTAAAGAATCAAAATCAGTAGAAAGCTGCACTTTCACATGAATTTTGCTACCCATGTGAAGGCCTACAAACGCAAAATGAGCCTCCATGTGCCGTGCGAGGGCATGTAAAAGTACCATTTACAAAACTGCCGATATCGTTCCCCCCCC